CTGCCTTCGATTCGACCTTGGCGACTTCGGCTGCGGCTCTACTGTGGTCCATTTTCGCCACACCTTCTTGGATTCTGTCGTACGGGCGGTACGGGCGTCATTCGTTTCGGGAAATTAGTATCAGTACAGCAATAATTTGTCTGACAGCAGTTATTCGTCCGACAACAACAACATGCAGCGCCCGTGATACACTAAAAAAAAGCAGCCTCGCTCCAACGAATGAGTGACCGGAAGACAGATTAAGACAGCACTACACGTTCCCCGCCCACACTTACTGGAGGTGTACGAAGTGCTTCACTGCGTGGATGACTTTGGTGGTGTGAACCAACTGTGATCTGTCCAGCATCGTCTTCGGGTCCGCCACCACTGAATCGTAGCTGCGACTATGCTCAGCCTGTGACGAGGAAACACACGTGCGGTTTCCAGAGCATTGCCGTCAGCGAATTTTTCTGCGATCTTGTCTGAACAGCGATGTCGAGGTCGAAAAAAGAAACGTGGAGCTCGTGGCACACAATTGCCGCCCGAATAGAAGAAGCGGCTGGCAACATTGGCGGTGGCGTCCCGTGGGTAGTGACGGCCGTGTTAAGAGCAGGCCGTAAGACTGTATACGACGCAGATAAAAAACAAGAATCAACGGTGTTTCGCCTTCCGTGATAAGCTCTGATCAGGTACTGCGCTGAAACACATGTGCAGGAAGCACAAATAACAAACAGCAGTGCAAACGCCGCTGCCATTGTGGTTGCAACTTAACCAGAAAACACCTCACCTTCTGGAGCTTGTCGTAGGCATCGCGGTATGTTTGCATCAGCTCCGCCTTACGCCTCGTCCAGTGCTTGCGCGCTCGGCCCCTCGCCCGATCCAGCTGCGTTTTCGTCCATGTCTTCCGCTCCGATGCCGGCGCCTTCCTCTTGGCGAAGGGATAGTTCTTGTTCATGCGGTACTGTGCCGCAACGAGATTTGATTTCTCGCAGACCTCCTCCGGCATCATAGCCTTGTTCCCCCTCCCTGTCCCAACCTTGTTGTTGCCAGCCGTGTTGTCGTATGGGCGCGTGGGTGCAGTAAACACACCGTCGAAACGACCCTTTCGGGTGCTTCGGCGGGAGGGCCCTGGTGCGGGATGCTCTGGGGCTGCGGGCACTCCAGAACGACGCATACTGTCACCGACCTCACCGTTCTCCCCCGTCCCTTGCCGAACGTCTACTGCCTCTTTGCCAAGAGGTGTGGGGGATCCAACCCCTCTCGATAGAGCTGCTGCCATCGCTGCTCCTGCTGCTCCAGCTGCTGCTGCTGCTGAAATCCAAACCGTCAAGAAAACCGTCCGATGAAGTATCGCAGTTGTCCTCCAGCACTTCCTCGGCGTCCCCCATCTCTTGACCACTGCAAAACTCCTCGATCAAAAGCCCATGACCCGAAGCTATCGACATGTCGCCGACGCTGCTACAGCTACTTCTGGCCTCCTAATCTCTGCTGTCGGCACACTCGCTGCCGCCGCCCGGAGGACCGGCGTGCGGCGCAACCTCTAAATCCACCGCTGGGTTCACTACTTGACCAACCTCGCCACCGACAGAGGAGCTCTCCTCCTCTTCCTCCTGCTCCTTCCCCCGCCGGGCCCTCTGCATCCGCGCTCCCATAGTTCGTGCCAACCCCGCTGCTTCCTTCCCAAAAATCTTTTTCTTGTTGCGATATTTTTGGCTCGCGGACAGCGTCGGGGGCCGAGCAGATTTACGCGGCGAAATGTTTTGTGCCGCGTTTCGTGCCGCGCGAGCTGCGGACTCCATCGTCTTCTGTGCGAAGCGCAGTATCGACTGACCTCCACCACTGCTGTGTGCGCCGCTGGGATCCTCTTCGCACCAGTCCTCGTCGTTGACGTCCTCGTCTGCAGCCGCCTTCTCTTCCTCCGCATCCACATCCATAAACTCCGCGCCATCGTCGCCGTCGAAGTGCGCATCACCAGAGCCTGATGGAAGTTCATGTTGCAGCGCCAGCTTCGGTTTCTTGGAAACCGCCCGGNGCGAAGCGCAGTATCGACTGACCTCCACCACTGCTGTGTGCGCCGCTGGGATCCTCTTCGCACCAGTCCTCGTCGTTGACGTCCTCGTCTGCAGCCGCCTTCTCTTCCTCCGCATCCACATCCATAAACTCCGCGCCATCGTCGCCGTCGAAGTGCGCATCACCAGAGCCTGATGGAAGTTCATGTTGCAGCGCCAGCTTCGGTTTCTTGGAAACCGCCCGGCCATCGGGTCCGCGCTTGCCGAACTTCTTCCTTGCCCTTCCCTTGGGTTTCCCCATGGTGCTTGCGTGCGTGTTGTGTGTTCTTTGGGTCACCACGTGTGCGATTGGTTGTGTGTGCGTGCGTCGCCAGCGGAAAAAAAAATCTCCCATGGCTCGGCACAACTCGGCCCAACAAAATGTGGAATATCTCGAGAACCAGATTTTTCCCAGCAAAACCCAAAAATACCAGCCTAGATATTGACTAGAGGAAACGTTTGCCGCAGTCTATTTTGAAATCGATCGGTTGGTTATCTCGTATAAAGCAAAACAAGTTGGTGCTCTATATTAGGTCTTGGGAGATATCTTCGTCAATTTTGAATATTTCGAAAAAAAAAGTCTGGCAAATTGCGAGATCTGTTCGAATCCGTTGAGTTTTTTGGCATCGGTAAACAACACACCCCAGGAAAAACAAAACAAGTTTTTCCGGTTTTTCGAGCATAAAATGTCAAGGAAAAACAAAAAAGGAAAAAACTCTCCGTCACGCAATGCGCCTGGAAACAGGGTGCTTGCCGGTACTTTCGGATTTCGGAACAACCACCTGTGTGCGGAGAAAAGTGGTCATTTGTGCCGGGAATTTTTTGGACATATTGTTGTCCACAGACCGTATTTTACACCAATGCCGCCCTCACGTGCATGTTCTGATCGGCGTGCCTCAAAACGAAACGACTCTTGTGTTCGGGTTGTTTGCTCCGCTTGTTTCTATGGTCAGCCGGCTAGCCGACTAGCGTGATCGATCTTTTCTAACGACATGCACGATACACACACTGTCGGGGGAGCCTCCGACGAAAACGCGTTTCGCCTGCTCTTCCAGCTGCCGGACTGGCGTGTCTGCCCTTTGGTTAGCCAATTACAGCGTCAATGCTACTTCAAGACACATACACACAGATGCGCCCGTGTTGACGTTTTCTTCTGGGTGTAAGAGATGGACGCCTTCTTCATTGGCCAGCTGGTGAGAGCCATCGACACAAACAAACACACAAAACACACAGGTACACGTCTTGCTTTCTGAATGCCCAAAGGACGTCCATTTCCCGGGATAGCGTTGCGGCTGGTCCAAGACGTTGGGCCCGCTTTTCCTTATATGATACGTCAGCTGCCCACACAAACGCCTGAATAGAGGACGATGTGTTCGCGGTTGTAAGGATAGGTCTTGACGAAGAAATCAGATCTCGAAATCACATTCAGATTCGGCTGAAAAGTTGTTCCATCGGTCGAATCTTTAGGACGTCAAACAGGACGACCCAAAACCAAATCGGGTTTTGAAAAAGGGTGAAATGATTGAATCGAATCCCGATGTGGGTGAACCGCAACCATAGTTGCGGGACCACGGTCTACTCGCATGCACGGCGCGTGCCCACCTACCTCCATCCACACGAACTCCATCCACCGCGGAGCACAGAGGAGAGAGAAAGCACAAAAAGCCAACCCAAAGGAAGGGTGACTGCCCATCGTTGTTGCACGTGACTGGCGCCGAAAAAAAAACGTGTGCGGGATGTGTTGGTCTGTAGGGCAATCTCCCGTGGGTTGTCAAACCTCAACTGCACAGACGAATTGGTGGATTACCGTCGGACGAGGCTCGATTTAAAGTCTCACATGCACAGACATCGTGTCAGTGCCGCACAGAGGCCATGCACGCGTTTTGGTGTGTGCTTCTCGGGAGCGATAGCTCCCCATGTGGTGTGCCCACGTCATAACAGTACGTCGCAGCAGCACTCTGGCAGTTGGCAAGCGGCGGACCTCTCGGGTTGTTCGCGGTGGACTGCAGAGATTCGTTTCCATTTGGCAGATATGCCGTTGAGACACACAGGTCATTTCTGTCCGGATTTGGGTAGATCCGACTATTTTATTCTTATATCGAAATGTGATTTCGAGATCTGATTTCTTCGTTAAGACCTACCCTTAAGAACAGCACAACGTACAGATAAATTGCCCACCCGATTCGCCTTAAAAGAAGTCAATTTGGCCATGGTACATTGTCTGATTTCGAAGTGAGGAGTGTCGATAAACGCTTCAACAGCCCCGGAGAGCTGCAGTTACTTGCGAAACAGTTGAAACACAGACCAAGGCATGTGGGCACCCGACGCTTGCCTCACGGTGGCTGGTTTGTAAGCACGCCTGTATGACCACTCGTTGTTCTATGACCTGTCGACCCTCCAATCAACTTCCGACAGAACGAACCAGTCGTGGAATACTTGTACGTTGATTTGTTTTTTTCAACGGCGGATTGGCAAATTGTCGGCGCGCAGCAGCTTGTGGCAACACCCGTCTTTGGATGTAAAAGAGTGGACCGGTGGGAAATACTTGTTTCCCTCGAAACGCAACGAGTTCGTTTGACTACTTCCGCCTTCAACCTCAACAATGTTTCGGGCCCTTTTGAGATCTGAAACGTGCTTTTGGAGAGGCCGAGCAATTCGTAGCTGGCCCGCCTCAACTGGGGTTTGATTGAGGGGGATTGTGAACTTGAACAAACAAGAGCAGGAGGCATCACAGAGGGCCATTGGTGGTAAACGGCGTGACCTTGCTGCATTCCAATCGGAGCATGTCTATTTCCCGCCGCCTTCCTTAATCCGTACGTTCTCTCACTTCACTAATTCGCTCAGCAAGAAACTGCCCCCAGCGCACATCGCGTTTTTTTTTGCGTTTTTCTTATTTCCACGAACTGTCTCAGAACGAAGCGGATGCCTGGACGCGTTTGTGGCGGTATTGAATCATCAATCTTGCGAGCGACAAGAGAAGCGCTGGTACACGTCGATTCGGGAGCTGCAACTGGTGTCGCTGGAGCTTTGCGGGGTGTGCAGAAGGAACCCGATCTTGCGTGTGCGTGTGGATAGCAGTGCACCTCCTAGCTTGTGGTCTAGTTACAAATCACAAGCGATACCGGACGATTGCGGTGCTGAGGTTCCCATTGCGAGTCGCGTGCCGGCTGTGCGGGCCTATGGTTGGACGTGGTCGATTTCGGTAGACACTCTGCTGAGGATTCCTGACCTTCGGTTTTGGGCACAAACAGAACTGAGGCGTCGGGGATCTTTTCCTGAAGCTAGGCTCGCATCGTTGGTTTGGCCCCGAGGGCTCAAACAGCTGAAATTTGATTTGGACACGGCCGTGGAACAGGCATCGTGGCCGGCGTCACTGCAAAGCCTGACGTTTGGACGCTCTTTCAACCATCCAATCGACGGCGTCCGGTGGCCGTCTTCCTTACGAGAGCTGTCGTTTGGATTCAGATTCAACCAGCCCATAATAAGAGTAACATGGCCTGTCTCCCTGCAGCAGCTAACGTTTGGTGAGTGTTTCGACCAGCCCATCACTGGAACAGTGTGGCCGGCCTCGCTGCAACACCTATCGTTCGGGCTTTGCTTCAACCACACTATCGTGGGAGTTGTGTGGCCGCCCTCCCTGCAACAACTATCATTTGGGCGTTTGTTCAACCGCACTATCGCCGAAGTCGTGTGGCCGGCGTCCCTTCAGCAGCTGTCGTTTGGGTACTTCTTTGACCAACCCATCGTCGACATCGCGTGGCCGGCCTCCCTTCAGCAGCTATCTTTTGGGCACCAATTCAGCAAGACTATCGTCGGGGTCGGGTGGCCGACCTCCCTGCAGAAGCTATCGTTCGGCGATCGCTTCAACAAGCCCATCGCAAGGGTATCGTGGCCGCCTTTCCTTCAGCAGCTATTGTTCGGCTGCTACTTCAACCAACCCATAACCGGGATCAAGTTGCCAGACTCCCTGCAACAGCTATCGTTCGGTGACCGCTTCAATCAACCCATCGCGGGAATCGGTTGGCCGACTTCCCTGCCGCAGCTATCTTTCGGGTGTTTCTTCAATCAGCCCATCACCGGGGTGGTTTGGCCGGCTGTACTGCGGCAACTGTCCTTCGGGGATCAATTCAACCAAGCGATCATTGGGGTCGTGTTGCCGGACTCCCTGCAACAACTGTCGTTTGGACTCAACTTCACCAACCGATCGAGGGAGTCGTGTGGCCTGGGTCCCTGCAGCAACTGTCGTTAGGGTACTGCTTTCACCAGCCCATCGTCGAAGTATTGTGGCCGGCTGGTCTGAAACGGTTATCATTTGGGGATTTGTTTGACCAGCCTATCACCGGAGTTGTGTGGCCGGCCTCTCTGCAGCAACTGTCGTTCGGGCTCTTCTTCAACCAACCCATCACTGGTGTAACGTGGCCGGCTTCCCTTGAACAGCTATCGTTTGGGGAATGCTTTAATCAGTCCACTACCGGAGTCGTGTGGCCAGCCTCCCTACGGCAGTTGTCGTTGGGGGGTATATGTCACGAGCCCATCGTCGGAGTCGTGTGAACCTGGTGATCGTAGCTTTGTTGAGCTCAGAGAATTCATCTGCGGCGAAGAAGAGAGCAAAAGCAGAGACACTGATGATACATCAATAGGATACCGGTGTGGGCAGGACGCAAAGCTTGCCTTTGGTACCGGGGTCGCTTCGATTGAAATTCCTTCACGAGGGCAGTCGGGGCGTAACTCACTAGAAGGCACCGCCGCGATTTCGTGCGTATAGCTTTCCGAGCTGAGAGGACTTCGAGCCCGGTAAAAAAAACGCGAACAAAATTTCAGCTTGTTTTGTTTCGGGAGCAGAAACCAACCCTATTGGGATTGGAAAAATATTGTCACGCTGGAGGAGTCCGGCATCGCCGCGAGGGCCAGCAACACTGTACTTATGAAACAGGAGAAGGGTCGATCGGGGAAATCGAGCCCACTGTCGAATATGCCGATATTGTTCTTGTTGTTTCTCACATTACCTCCATAGTCCACAAGAAATCGGGAGCCCGTGGTCTCCAAACCCGGCACATACGATGCCGCGGGGAAACAAAACAATAATAGGGTACACACCACTCGGAAAAAGAAAACAAAATGATAGNAGTAACGGAGCAAACAGAACAAAGAGGCGGCAGATGAGCAGACAGCCAGATGTACAAAAACAAAGGCAACAGCAAAAGCGAAATCAAGGTACCCAACACAGCAGAGCAGGCAGGGAGGAATGAAAAAACAAGAAACACAGCGCAGAGGCCGAAGGCAATATACAAAGGACATACATAAAGGAGTAAAGCATACACCAGGGAGGGAAACAGGGCGCAACAACATCAGCCGGGTACATAGTTCGCCACAAGTGCTGCCTCGGCCGCCCTACTCGCTTCTACAGCAGTGCCCGGGCGCCGTTTCTTCCTCCCCACCGCCCCCGCCCCGCCGGTGCTTGCCATCGGGATTGGGTTTTCGTCGCTTGCCAACGACGTTGTAAAACAAGCCAATTCACTTCGTGAACTAGGCAACCAGGTTACCGTTTTTTTTTTTTACCTCCGGTTTTTTTTTTGGCGGTAACCATAATGGTGGTCGAGTAGATCATGTTGTGCGGGGTGGAGAACCCTCACTCCGCGCAAGGGGGATGATCGCACCACGTTGTGTTGAAATGGTCAAGCACCCTCGAGGCAGTTACACAGTGCTTACAACTGTCTCTGGAAGTGAAAGCACCAGAAAATAAATTAATTCATACGCAGCTGTCATCCGTACGCAAGGAAGTAAGCACAAGATGCCGAACACCCTTAGCAGGATGCAGCGCACCCTTCATGCGACTCGCCGAATATCTCACGGCGCTTCGCGCTTGGTGATGTGAGAGCCTGGTCCGGTGAGGCCCCGGCGTTCTCCGTCCCGGCTTTGTAGGGATGCGGGGCCAATGGTCCAACGACTACGGCATGCACGACTATGAGTATGAGTACGCTCCCCACCGCCGCTTCCCCGACTCTCATTCGCTTCGGTCCTGAGATGGCCGTACTCTCTGCTTCTGCTTCCCTCGCGCGCTGGCGCTTCGCGGACGCTTCCGCCTCCTGCCTGTGCCATTTCCTCATGA